TAGAGATAGGGTTTCACCATGTTGGCCAGGCTGGTTTCGAACTCTTGACCTCAAGTGATCCATCTGCCTTGGCCTCCCAAAGTGCTGGGATTACATGTGTGAGCCAGCACGCCCGGCCTCTCTTTGTATTTTTAAAGGGATGAGGTCTTGCTCTGTCCCCAGGCTGGAGTGCAGTGGTGCCATCATAGCTCACTGGACCTTCACATAGCAGCCTGGACCTTCTGTGCCTAAGCGATTCTTCTGCCTTCCGCCTCAGCCTCCCAAGTATCTGGGACTACAGGTACATACCACTGCACCTGGCTAATTTTTTTAATTTCAAAAATAAAATAGAGACGGGGTCACTATGTTGACCAGGCTGGTCTTGAACTCCTGGCCTCAAGCGACCCTCCCGTTTTGTCCTCCCAAAGTGCTGGGATTACAGGTGTGAGAATTTTTTAATTTTTTTGTGGAGACGGGGTCTTGATACAGTGCCCAAGCTGGTCTCAAACTCCTGGGCTCAAGCGATCCTCCTGTCTGGGCCTATTACAGGCGTGAGCCATCATGCCCAGCCAGAATGTAATTACTTTTTTTTTTTTTTTTTTTTTGAGACAGGGTCTTACTCTGTCACCCAGACTGGAGTGCAGTGGTGCAATCATGGCTCACTGCAGCCTCAACCTCCTGGCTCAAGTGATCCTCCCACCTCAGCCTCCTGAGTAGCTGGGACTACAGGTGCATGCCACCAAGCCTAGCTAATTTTTTTTTTTTTCCCCTAGAGATGGGGTTTCACCACATTGCTCATGCTGGGAATCTGTTGAAGGAAACTCTCCTTCAACCAGTACAGTACTATACATGTATACAGTAGAGCCAATTACTGTGCTATAATTACACATATTCTCTTGTGAATCTTTATTTCCCTATATTTTCATACATCTGATGGGTTATACGTCTATCACAAGTTTATCCTTAAACCGCCTGAAATGCAATCTTCCCTTTTTATTTATTTATTTGTTATTTTTTGAGACAAGAGTGTCACTCTGTCCCCCAGGCTGAAATGCGGGGGTGCGATCTCGGCTCACTGCAACCTCCGCTTCTTGAGTTCAAGTGATTCTCCTGTCTTC